TTTTGAGGCAAGGTCTTGTAACCCAGGCTGGAGTGCAGTGGTGCAATCTCAGCTCAGTGCAGCCTCTGCCTTCCAAGCTCAAACAGTCCTCCCACTTCAGCCTCCCAGGAAGCTGGGATTACAGCCACATGCCACTACATCCGTCTAATGTTTTGTACTTTTTTAGCAGGGTCGAGTCGGGATTTCACCATGTGAAAGACTAGGCAGGTCTTTAACTCCTGAGCTCAAGCAATCCACCCACCTTAACTTCCCAAAGTGCTGGGATTACAGGCATGAGCCACTGCGCCCAGCCTCTCTTCCTGGCTTTTTAAAAGTTTGCATGCAGTAAAACCATTCTTTGTTGTGTATAGTTCTGTGGGTTTTGACAAATGCATGCCGTCATGTATCCAACACCAGAGAACCACACAGAACAATTCTGTCACTCTAGAATTTCCCTCGTATTCAGCCCATCCCTTTACCCTAATCCCTAATCTGTGATATCACATAAGTGGAATAAAATAATACATATTCTTTGGGTCTGGCTTCCTTCCCTTAGCAAAATGCATTTAAGATTAATCCATGTTGTTAGATGAACCAACAAGGAGATTTTAAGGAGACTATAGATGTGCTTTAATAATGCTGGTATAGGCTGGCTGCAGTGGCTCAGACCTATAATCTCAGCTATTCCAGAGACTGAGGTGGGAGGAAGGCCTGAGCTCAGGAGTTTGAGGCTGCAGGGAGCTATGGTCATGTCACTGCACTCTAGCCTGGGCAACAGAGGGAGACCTCATCTCTGAAATAATAATAATAATAGTAGTAGTACCATAGATGGTTCATATTTTAACCACAACAATTATGACTTTGTCCTTAGGTTTAGATCATATAAATTATAGGTTCCAGTTACAAAATATGCATCATTACATACTATGAGGTAACAAACAATACACAATAAATTGGTAATGAAGCAAAACCATCAGTAGTTCACAAAAGAACTAGCAGCCTTTGAAAACAATGATCAATACAATTACAGTGATAATATAGTAATAATGATCTTCTTGAAAACTAAAGGCATTTCAAGTAACTGGTTGAGGCCATGTGAAGTAGGTGTTCTGCAGTGACACCAAGCACTGAGTATAAGCTACCACCTTAGAATGTAGAATTAAGAATCCTTAGAAAGTGAATAATCCTCACAAATACCTATTTCCAATAATTTTTACTAACTCAAGTAATTTACTAGCAAGTTGCTCTAAGTCAGGCAAAAATAAAGTCTATTGCTTGTTTGTTCATCAGAACTAAAGAGGATGAGCACAGTAGCTCACACCTGTTATCCCAGCACTTTGGGGGGCTTAAGTAGAAGGATTGCTTGAGCCCAGGAATTCGAGACCAGCCTGGGCAATATAGTGAGACCCCAGCTCTATAAAAAATATTTTAGGCCAGGTGTGGTGCACACCTGTAATCCCAGCACTTTGGGAGGCCAAGGCGGGCTGATCACCTGAGGTCAGGAGTTTGAGACCAGCCTGCCCAACACGATGAAACCCCGTCTCTACTAAAAATACAAAAAATTAGCCTGGTGTAGTGTCAGGCACCTGTAATCCCAGCTACTAGGGAGGCTGAGACAGGAGAATCCTTGAACCCAGGACGTAGGGGTTGCAGTGAGCCAAGATTGCGACATTGCACTCCAGCCTGGATGAGAAGAGTGAAACTCTATCTAAAAAAAAAAAATTGTTTAAGTTAGCCAGGCGTGGTGACACATGCTTGTAGTCCCAGCTACTCAGCAGGCTGAGGTGGGAGGATCACTTGAGCCCAGGAGGTCAAGGCTGCAGTGAGCTAGGATCGTGCCATTGCACTCCGGCCTGAGTGAGAGAGCGAGACCCTGTCTCAAAAAATAATAACTGAAGGAAGAACTTGCAGCTTTAGTTCAGTCTGTCACTTGTCAGAGGAACTTCTTGTTTTATTATGAACTTCAGACACATTTTTAAAAACCACTGAATAGGCCGGGCGCGGTGGCTCAAGCCTGTAATCCCAGCACTTTGGGAGGCCGAGGCGGGTGGATCACGAGGTCAAGAGATCAAGACCATCCTGGTCAACATGGTGAAACCCCGTCTCTACTAAAAATACAAAAAATTAGCTGGGCATGGTGGCGCGTGCCTGTAGTCCCAGCTACTCAGGAGGCTGAGGCAGGAGAATTGCCTGAACCCAGGAGGCGGAGGTTGCGGTGAGCCGAGATCGCGCCATTGCACTCCAGCCTGGGTAACAAGAGCGAAACTCCGTCTCAAAAACAAAAAAACAAAAACAAACAAAAAAAACAAAACAAAACAAAACAAACAAACAAAAAAACAAATTAATCCACTCTGTAAAAACAAAACAAAACAAAACAAAACACTGAATAGGTGGAGGGATGGTCAGATTGTATTTATTGATTTCAGTGCTAAGTGCAATGAATAGCTTTCTAACACTTTTAATTTCTTTTTTATGAAATTTTTATTTTTATTAAGAACCCCTCTTTTCTCTCTAAGCACCAAGAGTCATTAAAAAAAAACAGTTCTCTCAGAATGTCTTCCAAAATAAAATAAAAGAGTTAAAAGAAAAAACAAAAAAAGGAAAAAAAAAGTATTATTTGCTATTATAGCCCAAAAAAGGGAGTATGAGTAGATTATATATATATATACATACTCCCTTTCAAAAACAAACAAAAGCCCCCAAAACACATGAGTGTGCCTGAGCAGCTGGTTCACACTTGTAATCTTAACACTTTCGAGTATGAGGTAGGAGAATCACTTGAATCCAAGAGTTTGAGACCAACTGGGCAACATGGCAAAACCCCATCTCTACCAAAAAAAAAAAAAAAATTAGCTGGGTATGGTGTCATGCACCTGTAGTCCTAGCTGCTTGGGAGGCTGAGGCAGGAGAATGGCTTGAGCCTAGGAGTTCAAGGCTACAGAGAGCGCTATGATCACACCACTGCACTCCAGCCTGCGTGACAGAGCAAGACGCTACCTGTCTCAATAAATAAATAAATACACGTGAATGTGTAGGGAACACTTAATTTCTGCATTACAGTATTGTACAAAACAGTAGTGAATCCTCTCAGCCCACAATAGGCACATAGCTCTTTTTGTTAATGGTGAATGTGTACATGACTGCAGTGTACCTCCTGGGAACACCATCTCTGAACTTCAGGGAATGTATGAAATAACGTTTTCTATTCAGGGCATTGGAAAGGAGAATCAGGGTGCTTGCCTTGGCAGCACATGTACTAAAGGAGAATTCAGGGTGAGGTGCATACCAAACAAGGTACACACGTAGAAGCATGCATCACAAACAAGAACTCTTAGACGCCACCTGCTCATGTGTTTCGTTTGTTTGTTTGTTTTTGGAGACAGGGATTTGCTCTGTCAACCAGGCTGGAGTACAGTGGCATAATCATGGCTTCTCATTGCAGCCTCAAACTCCTAAGCTCAAGGGATCCTCCTACTTCAGCCTCCCAAGTAGCTGGGACTACAGGCATGTGTCACCACATCCGGGTAATTTTTGGTATTTTTAGTAGAGACAGCATTTCATCATGTTAGCCAGGATGGTCTCAATCTCCTGACCTCGTGATCCACCCACCTTGGCCTCCCAAAGTGCTGGGATTACAGGCTTGAGCCACCGCGCCCGGCCAATTTTTTTTTTTGAGATGGAGTTTCACTCTTGTTGCCCAGGCTGGAGTACAATGGCGAAACCTTGGCTCATTGCATCCTCTGCCTCCCAGGTTCAAGTGATTCTTCTGCCTCAGCCTTCTGGGTAGCTGGGATCACAGGCGCCTGCCACCACTCCTGGCTAATTTTTATATTGTTAGTAGAGATGGAGTTTCACTGCGTTGGCCAGGCCGGTCTCGAACTCCTGACCTCAGGTAATCCACCCACCTCAGCCTCCCAAAGTGCTGAGATTACAGGCGTGAGCCACCATGCCCAGCCCTGAGTTATAATTTTTTTTTTTTAATAGAGACAGGGTTTTACTATGTTGGCCAGGCTGGTCTCAAACTCCTGACCTCATGATCTGCCCGCCTCAGCCTTCCAAAGTGCTGGGATTACAGGCACAACCCACCTCACCCAGCCTGATCTACTCTAATTTTTTGTTGTTGTTTTGAGATGGAGACACTGTCGCTCAGGCTAGAGTGCAGTGGCGTGATCTTGGCTCACTGCAACCTCTACCTCCTGGGTTCAAGTGATACTCCTGCCTCAGCCTCCCAAGGTGGGACTAGGTGTGCGCCACCATGCCAGGCTAATTTTAGTAGAGACGGGGGTATCACCATATTGGCCAGGCTGGTCTCGAACTCCTGACTTCAATGATCCACCTGCTTTGGCCTCCCAAAGTGCTGGGATTACAGGTGTGAGCCACTGCACCTGGCCTATAATTTTTTTTCTTAACTGCACGTTAACTGAGCGCCTTATAGACAAGTTATTTAATAACCTTCCCAGAGATAGTCATGGCTCCTAATCTGAACGTATTATCTGCTCTTATTCTTGGTCAAATTGCTCAGCAGAAAGAAAGAAATGAACCTATCTGTGGCCATCTGATGCAACGGCCTAGAAATCTTAAATGGTACTTTAAAAAGGACAATAAATCACATGACATTTAAGAACTTGGTTTTGGTAAGGCTAGGCTAGTAAGCCTATGCATTTCTTTCATTATTTTATTTCCCCTTAGAAATAAGGAGTTAACATTCAAGAGGCTTAGAAAACTAAATAAACCTTCTTTGATCTTGTTGTGTTTTCAGGTTAGTCTGATTAAAAAATTATCCTTGCATTTCAGGCAATTTCTCAGCATACGCGGGAGCTCCTGAAAATTGAAGAGCCATTATTCAAACGGTCCATCAGCCTTCCCTATAGGGATATTATTGGCTTGTATTTAGAGCAAAAAGGTCATACTGGGATAAAATCTGATTCTTTGACTTTATCTGAATTTGTCAAAGCAGCAGGATTACAGGATTATGCTCCAGAAATAACTGCCCCTGAAGAGGAAGAGGAATTACCTTGCATTGAACCATAGTGGGAAGCTGCTTCACATAGCTTGAAAGATCAAACTAAATTACTTGAGGGAAGAGGTATGGCCTTTTTTGGTTTTTCTTTTTCTCCTTTTTTTTTTTTTTCTTGAGATGTAGCCTCACTCTGTTGCCCAGGCTAGAGTACAATAGCACGATCTCAACTCACTGCAACCTCTGCCTCCCAGGTTCTCCTGCCTCAGCCTCTGGAAGAGCTGGGATTACAGGCACTCACCACCATGCCCAGCTAATTTTTTTTTTTTTTTTTTTTTTTTTTTTTGCGACCGAGTTTCGCTCTTGTTACCCAGGCTGGCGTGCCCTGGCGCAATCTCGGCTCACCGCAACCTCCGTCTCCCGGGTTCAGGC